TGTCATGGTGGTGGTGTCTTTGTTAGAGACTTGGAAAAAAGAAGATGAACCTAAAAGGGGACTTTGGAGTCTGGGTTCTATGAAGGCCCTGAGGAGGGAGATGGCATTTCAGATAGGGAAACCAGCTGCTGAAAGGACACATCAGGTATTCAGGGATTTGAGAGAACATCTAGTTAAGAGTTTAGAGAGGCTCGGCGCCTGTGGCTCAAGTGGCTAAGGCACCAGCCACATACACCTAAAGTGGAAAGTTCGAATCCAGCCCAGGCCCACCAAAACAACAATGATGGCTGCAACTAAAAAATAGCCGGGCTTTGTGGCAGGCACCTGTGGTCCCAGCTACTTGGGAGGCTAAGGCAGGAGACTCGCCCAGGAGTTGGAGGTTGCTATGAGCTGTGATGCCACAGCACTCTAGCTTGAGGCTCTGTCTCAAAAAAAAAAAAAGAGTTTAGAGAGAGTGAAGTCAGTCCCTAGAGATGATTCTGGAAAGTTTGTCTAGGGCAGTGCTTCTCAAGGGCCGTGGCCTTAGGAAGGTTGAGAACCATTGGTCAAGGGCCAGAGTAGGAAGAATTTGGTCTATTGGTTAAACAATTTGGTCTCATTCCTTTAGGCCAGTGGTTCTCAAAGTTCCTAATGCTGCAGCCCCCTTTAATACATTTCCTGTGGGTCACCATCCACAGGTTAAGAATCGCTGCTTTAGGCAACGGGAAGCTATTGAAAAATTGGCTAGAATAGAAGAACTGCATTGAAAATATGTGAGCAAACTGGACTTGAGCTAGCTGGGAAATTATACCTGGGTCTTGGGGAGAGGGAGAGGACAGTTTGGAGGCTGTAGCCACAATTAAAAGCTATAAATGAAGAGGACTTGAAACAAAGCAGCTTGGGAAGAGCAGGAAATAATAGTGGAGATATTTACAAATGGAAATAGATGAACTCTGGATGCCCGGATGCTCAGGAAAAATAAAATGAAGGAGGAGTCGCAGAAAATCTAAGTTTCTAGCTTAGGAAGCTGAATTATGAGTCTAGCTGCATTGAGGTTCTTGATTTAAAAGGGTATTAATGGACCTATAGCTGAGCATTGAAAAACCAACTCCCTACTAATGGATTACTATTCCTTTAAGGAATAGTACATTATTCATTCATTCAACAAACCCACATAGAGCATTACCATGTGCTGGGCAGATACTACTACTAGGACCTGGGGATACAGCAGTGAACAAAACAACAGCCCTGCCCGCATCAAATTTATGGTGCCCTGGAAAATAGTGGTAATACTAAGAGCTATCCTGTATTCAACATCAAATCTGGTGCTAAATACTTAACTTAGATGATCTAATTTGATCCTGTCACTCTGAAAAGAAGGCATTATTAATATCCCCATTTTACAGAAGAGAAAACAGGCAAAGTCAAGTTAGTCACATGCCCAGCTAGAAAGCAGTAGAGCCAGATTAGGGAAGCGAATGTCAAAGCCCACTTCCTAATGGTCCACAAGACTGAGGTTAAATAGAAGCTGGTGTTCATAGAAGACAGGAGTAGAAGCTAAGAGAAGTTTTGTTACCACTGTGTGAAAACTGCAAGCCCATCTCAGTTATTCATTAGTAGAGATTTCATTTCAAAGCAATGTGGGTATTTCATTGCGGAAATTATATCAATTGGGTATTTAAAATCATCTCTTCCTTTCACCTTCTTAAGGGGCATCTTTTCCTGAGGCCTGTGGCAGTTATACACAGACACCCCCGCCAGGGTGGCAGCGAGGCTCCCTAAGGTGCTGTATGTGTCCAGACCTCCTGCCCAGTTAAAGAAGCAGAGTCCTTCACTTAAAACATGAATGCGACCTCTTCAGTCATCACACCCCTCTATGGATTTACATGAATCCCTTAGCATCGTATCTCCTGCCAATGAATGCAGTTTGTGCTGGAAAAAAAAACATTACTTTATAACTTTCAGGACATTAATAATTAACTTCCATTCCACAAAACTTGTAAGATCAGTTTGCTGAAATAAAGTCACCCAGTAAGTGTTTAATTCTTCTTTAAAGGGTGTCTTCTATTATTATTATTTTAGAGTGCAATTTAGTCATCAAAGCTTTACTCAGCCTCATGTTTATAAATTATATAGGGCAGGGATTTAACTCTTCTGGCCCTACCTGTTCTGTAAAGAGGGAGGGTCATAACCCTGTTGTCACACTGGGCACCTGCCTTGAAAGGAGATGATTTGTGAACTTGAAGTTCCTTGCCTCTTAGAAATCTGTGAATATAGAGATTTTCCTTTATGATGCAATCAGAGGAATAAGCAGATGTTTGCCTGCCTCAAAGAGGCATTGGTTTTTACCCTTCAGAAGGCTATTTGGAAACAAGTTCGTTTTTTTCAGAATGTTGTCTTGATTATATGACATAATAATAGTGCCTTTCCAAATCATCTGTGCAATATTATTTTCTCAGTGAGGTGGTTACAGTTCGTCTTTCTGAGCGGGAAGGGCTACTGCTAATAAAAATCAAAGCAGAAATAATCTGGTAAAGTGGCTAGGCAGTTGGAAATTCCAAGTCCCACTCCTACAGGCTGCCAATTAAGGGTTCCTTCAAGCTCATCTTGGATTAGGGACTCTGGCCTCAGTGAAAAATTAGCTAATGTTTCCATACAACCCTCAAGCCCCAGCATCCCAATAAGTCTTCTGCCAACACAGTGTGAAAGGGGTGAGAGGAGGAAGCAGCAGGTGTCTTCCTTTCTTGGTTCTTCTGTTTGAAAAGGGCAATATTTTCTTTTTTTTTTTTTTTTTTTTTTTGAGACAGAGCCTCAAGCTGTCCCCCTGGGGATGGCGTGGCATTACAGCTCACAGCAACCTCCAACTCCTGGGCTCAAGCGAGTCTCCTGCCTCTGCCTCCCAAGTAGCTGGGACCACAGGCGCCCGCCGCAACACCCGGCTATTTTTTGGTTGCAGCCGTCATTGTTGTTTGGCGGGTCCGGGCTGGGGATTCGAACCCGCCACCTTAGGTGTACGTGGCTGGCGCCTTAGCCGGTTGAGCTATAGGCGCCGAGCCAAAAGGGCAATATTTTCAAAGCTAAGTGCCTGAACCCCTAGAGGCCAGGAGCCAGGGTTCCGTTTCCTCAGTCAAAAATGCCCCTCCCCTCAGCTGCGGGCCCTAGCAGTCTTGGCCAAGGCTGAGCAGAGGATGGTAGTCGATACTCAAAAGTGATCCAACTCTCTGGATCATACAGGGATTCCTGGAGACGGCAGCGAGGGCCGAGGGGATTCATTCTGGGCTAGATGTACTCCAAGAATGCTTCTATGGTGGGCGAGGAGCGGAAAAATCAAGGATAACAAATATTCCGAGGGAACCTAAGAATCATAGGATTCAAACAGGTGACAAACGCAAAATGTACGAGGCACACTCTACCCAGTGCTCCAGCCTCAACCTCCTTTTCCCAGGCCCTCTCCTCTCTTTTATTTCCTTGGCTGATAAGACAGAGTTTACTAGTGAGGGGGCTCCGCGGAGAGCTCGGGAGGAGCCCGATGCTGCGCGCCGCAATCCAAAATAAACACCTCGCAAGCCCACGTTCAGCAAGCGATACTGAACACCACACTCACGTTAAAAAAAAAAAAAAAGTACTGTTTGTAGAGAAGATGAGGGTGAAAACATTTGCCGGCTGGAAAAGTACTGATCACAAACTAAGGGGGAGGCAGCGTGCGAAAGCTGAAATCCCGATCGCCTTCCCTTTTCTCTTCCCGGTGGGCAAGGCCGGCTGTCGCGGGCTCCGCGTACGCTTTCTGGGAATGGGATGCCCCCGCAGCGCCGTACTTCTGGACACCCGGCCTCTTTCCAACTAAGTCCCTTTCGGCGGGCTTGACCCACCCGGAGCCTGAGCCGAAGGGAGCGAGTTGTCCTTCGACCTTTACTCGCTATTTCACCTCTTTATGACTCAGTTTTCTCATCCATAAAGTGGAGAGTGCGTGGTTTAGTAACGTATTTTTAGATGTCTGTAAAAGGTGTCTCCGCGCCTCACAGTCCCACTTCTCTCCTCCACCCCTCCGATCTTGAATCTTAAATATCAAAACCACAACTCCGATCCTTATTGCGGCTTCTTTCTGCATGCCCCAGGCGCGGAACACTCCTCCAGCCTTCAGATTCCCAGTCCCTGCCACCCTGCGCAGGGCACCCGGCTCCTCCCCACCCCCCATCCCCACCCCCACCCCGCCCCAGGCCGGGCGAGGAAACGTGCACCGCCAGGCCAACAGCCCGCACTGGTGCAGCCGGGCGGAAGCCAGGCTCCTGCATAGGGGAGGGAAAGAGAGCTGAGTCACGCGGATAATCGTTGTCTTTTAGAGCGCAGACAACGCAGAGAGTGCGGACTGGAGCAGGGACAAGGGTCCCCCAGATCCCCCACCGGCCTTGTCTGCCACGGACATCGAACCCAGGGACCCGCAACGGCGGCGCGGATAGCTCTGTCGCGCAGCGGCCGAACCTGCGCCGGGTTCCCCGCGCCTCATGCTGGGGCGGACACCGCCGTCGCCTCCGCCACTGCCGCCGCCGCCGGCGTCAGCTCGGCTCCAGCCCGCCAGCTGCCGGGCTGGCGTCACGGCCCAGCCCCTCCCGCGCCCCGCCCCCACGTGCGCTGAGTTTGTTTATTTAGCTGCCATGGCAACGCGCGAAGTACAGCGGGAGGGCGGGGAGAAGAAAGCAGGGGCGGGGCCTGGCGCCGGGCCCAGGCGCGCTGCCGCCAGAAGGCGGAGGGGAAGGCAAGGGGGGGAAGTTATAAGTAAGGAGCGCGAGGCGGCCGCCGGCAGTTCCCCGGTCCAAGACAGCGAGCG